GCCCATGGTGAACGATTTCTGCGCGGGGAAAAGAGAAGAATTTTGTTGCAGAGTCTTAGTCTTTCCAGTTTTTCTTGGTTTTCGTCGTCGAAGGGCCGCCTCCAGGTCCCGTGGTTATTCGGGGGCATTGCGGATCCCCGTCAGGGCCTCTTGGGTGCGTTCAGGCGCCCTTTTATGTTTTCTCGGGGCGAAGTGTTTGAATTCTCCATTCGGGTTTCTCTTCTCACTCTCCTTTTGGGGCCGTCCTGGGGCTCTCCCTGGTGGCTTCGGGGGCCTTGTTGGGGCCAGTTTGTGCCGTCTGGGAGCCGCCTTGGGGGCATGCGGGGGCTTTTGGGTTGATTTGGGGGGTTTTTGGGCTGCTGTGGGACTCGTGAAAGCTCAAGCAGCGAATGCATTAAACTTAGACGTTTCCCTTTGGGAAGGGGCCGAGGTTTGGTTATGCCAGGCCTCTTGGGACGCGTCATGGTGGCGTCCTGGGGCGTCCAGGGGGCCTCGCGGGTCAGCTGGAGGCAGTGGCGGGCGTCCAGGAGCGATCTCCTCACGAGTCGCAATTCGCGAGACGGAGCCGACGGGGGAGCTTTGTGGGACCTATTTTGGAATTTTTTGGGGGCCGTCCTGGGGCCGTCCTGGGTCGGTTTGGCGGCTTCAGGTGCCTTTTGGCGCCGATTTGGGCTGTCTTGGAGTCCTTTCGGGGGCCTTTTTAGGTCGTAATTATTGGGTCGATCAGGAAGGCTTCTTGGGCTGTTGTGGGCCTCGTGAAAGCCGAAGAGGCGAACGTGCTGGAAATCTATGTTGTCCAGAGGAAATGAATTGCTTTTTGCTTCTGGAAAGCCTCTTGGGACGTCTCTGGGCGGTTTCTCGGGGCGTCTTTGGGGCCTGTTGGACCGCCGGGAGGCAATCTGGAGCGTCTTGAGGCGATCTCTCGACGACTCGTAGCCCTCGTGGGCCGTCCAGGAGGCCTTTGGGGACCCTCTTGTCCCATTTTTGGGCTCTATTGAGGCCGTCCTGCGGCTCTCCTGGGCCGTTGCGGTTTTTTCTGGGGCCTTCGCGGGGCCTTCGCTCGCCGTCTTGGGTTATCTGGGGTCGCTCTTGGACGCTTCTTGGGCCGTTGTGGGCTTCGTGAAAGACCAAGAGGCGAGTGTGTTTGAAGTATATGTTTTGTCCGTAGGGAATGGCGCCATTTTGTTTCTGGAGGGCGTCTTGGCGGCTTCTTGGGGCGTCTTGGGGGCTTTAGGGCCGTCTGGAGGCAATTCTCGGCGTTGTGGAACGATCCCTCGTCGACTCGTAGCTCTCTTGGACCGTTCCAGGAGCCTTTTGGATCTTTTTGGCTCGTTTTTGGGCCTTGGGTTGCTGCGGACCTCGTGAAAGGCCAAGAAGCGAATGTGCTAAGCTTGGACGTTTCCCTTAGGGAACGGGCCGATGTTTGCTTCTTGAGGGCCTCTTGGGCCGCGTCCTGGTGGCGTGTCGGGGCGTGCAAGGGGTCTCAGGGGCGGCGTGAAAGGCCAAGATGCGAACGTGTTGGAAATATGTGCTTTCCATCGAGAATGGGACGGTCGTTTTTTCTGGAAGGCTTCTTGGGACGCCTCTGAGTAGCGTCTTGAGGCGTCTTGGGGGCCTGTAGGGCTGTCGGGAGGCCATGTTGGACGACTTGGTGCACTGTTGAACGACTTGGGACGTCCAGGGGGTCTTTTAAGAACCCTCTTGGGCCGTCTTGGGGCCCTCTTGGGACCGTCCTGTTGCTCTCCAGGGCCGTTGTTATGGTTTCTGGGGCCCTCGTGGTGCGCCCGGAGGCCGTCTTGGAACCCTGTTGAAAGCCTCTGGGGCTGTACGGGGTCGATGTTGGATGTTTCTTGGGCCGTTGTGGGCCTCGTGGAAGCCCGAGAGGCGAATGTGCTGAAAATGTATTTTTTCCTTTTTAGGAAATGGGACGACTTGTGCTTGTGGAGGCCTTCGTGGAGCGCCTCGTAGTAGCTTTTCCAAACGTTTCGGGGGCCTATGGGGAATCGTCTGCAGGCAAGCTGGGGCGGTTTGGACCGAATCGTCCCCCTTGTCGGCCGTCCAGAAGGCTTTTGGGGACCCTCTTGGCCCGTTGTGGGGCTCTCGTGGGACCGTCCTGCGACTGTCCTGGGCCGTTGCTGCGGTTTCTGGGGCTTTCGTGGTGCGCCCGGAAGCCGCCGAGGAGCCTTTTTGAGAGCCTCTTGGGGCGTCGGGGGTCGAATTTGGAGGTTTACTGGGCCGTTGTAGGCCTCGTGGAAGCCCAAGAGTTGAATGTACTGTAAATATATGTTTTCCCTTGGGAAATGGGACGATTTGTACTTGTGGAGGCCTTGGTGGAGCGCCTCGTGGGCGCATTTTCAGACGTCTTGGGGGCTTATGGGGCCGTCTGGAGGCAATCTTGGGCGGTTTGGACCGAATTGTCCCCCGCGTGGGCCGTCTGGGCAGCCTTTGGGGACCCTGTTGGCCCGTTTTGGAGCCCTCTTGGGACCGTCCTGCGGCTCTCCTGGGCCGTTGCTATGGTTTCTGGAGCCTTCCTGGATCGTCTGGAAGACGTCGTGGAGCCTTTCAGGGAGCCTCTTGGGCTGCAGAGGGTCGATCTTGGAGGCTTCTTGGGCCGTTGTGGGCCGCGTGGAATCCCAAGAAGCGAATGTGCTGACAATGTATGTTTTCCCTCGGGAATGGGACCATTTTTGCTTCTGGAGGGCCTTCGCGGGGCGCCTCGTAGTACTTTTTCAAGAGTCTTGGGGACTGATGGGGTCGTCTGGAGGCAATCTTCGGCGTTTTGCAACGATCTCTCGTCGACTCGTAGCTCTCTTGGACCGCTCTGGGACCCTGTTGTGGCCCGGGCCCGTTTTGAGGCATCCTGAGGCTCCAAGTGTGCGCCCGACACCTTTGCCCCCCCGCCCCCCTTCCGAACTGGCCGGACCGGGCCCCCGGGGGAGGGGTTTGGGGAGGGGGAAGCATCTCACACGCCGTGACCCCAAGGGGTCGGCAGATTATGATTTTAATGACGATGGTGATGATGATGCTGATGATGATGCTGCTGATGATGATGATGCTGATGATGACTGTGACGATACGATGACGATGATGATGATGATGATGATGATGCTGATGATGATGATGCTGATGATGATACTGATGACGATGATGATGACGATGATGATGATGATGATGATGATGATGATGATGATGATGATGATGATGACGATGATGATGATGATGATGATGCTGGTGATGATGATGATGATTATGATGATGATGATGATGATGATGATGATGATGATGATGACGATGATGATGATGATGATGATGATGATGATGATGATGATGATGATGATGATGGTGATGGTGATGGTGATGGTGATGGTGATGATGATGCTGATGATGGTAATGATGGTGGTGGTGGTGGTGGGGATGGTGATGGTGATGGTGTGGTGGTGATGGTGATGAATACGATCATTATGATGATGATGGTGGTGGTGGTGGTGCTGATGGTGATGGCGATGGTGGTAGTGATGGTGATGCTGACGGTGATGATGATGGTGATGACGATGATGATGATGATGATGATGATGATGATGATGATGATGATGATGATGATGATGATGATGATGATGATGATGATGATGGTGGTGATGATGATGATGCTGATTATTATCATTGTTATGGTTATATGATTCATGTTCTTGTTTTGATGGTGTGGTGGAGGAGGGAGGTGTATGATAGGGAGGAGGAGGAGAAGGAGGAGGAGGAGGGGGAGGAGAAGGAGGATGAGGGAAAAGGAGTCGGGAGCCGGAGGATAATGTTGAGAAGGATGAGGAGGAAAAGGAGGGGGAAAAGGAGGAGGAGGAAGAGGAGGAAGCGGAGGAGAAGGAGGAGGAGGAGGAGGAGGAGGAGGAGAAAGAGGAGGAATAGCAGGAGTGATGGAAGAGAAGGAGGCGGATGAGGAACAGCAGAAAGAGGAGGAGCAACAGTACGATGATGGTGGTAGTGGGGAAGCACAAGATCAGGAGAAGGAGGAGGACGAGCAGTAGGAGGAGGAGGAGGAGGAGCAGAAACACGAGGGTGATGGGGGAGGGCGAGAATGACAAGTAGGAGTGTGATCGGGGGAGGAGATAATAATGATGAGGAAGAGGGGGGGGGGACTGCACCAGCAAGAGGGCCATTTTTGAGAGATTGTTGGGTCTCTTGGGTCCGTCTTGGGTTTTTTTGAGCGGGCCTTCCCGAGACCATCTCATGCAGAAGAGCATCCGAAGCAGCAATAGCAACTGAACTCTTTCGTGTTGGTTGTTTTGTTGTTTCTTGGGGCCTGCCTGGAGACATCCTCGAGCGCCTCTTTGGTTCGGGGCTTTGTGATGCTTCTTTAGGGGATCTTTGTGCCTTTGTTTTTTTCGGCCTTCGTCTGGTGGTCTCCGGGTCGTCTTGTCGGGTTGTGAAGCTGTTTTGCAGCTTTCTTGGGGCGGTCTTGGCCCGTCTACGTAAAGGGGGAAACCGTGAAGCCCCTTGCGTCGAGGAAGGTGGACAGCTGTTCGAAAGCACAGGAGCCCTACCAGAGAGTTAACAGTCTTAACATGACCCAATGGCACGAGTGCAGCTGCTCATTTGAGTTGCTCTCCCTCGGAGATGTCACCATACCGTTTTGGGTCGTGTGTCCTCGCACCTATGCGTATGAGGATGCGTAGAGACATATGGAGATTTCGGTGGTTGTACACCTTCCAGGCACCGCAGATGCGTATGCTGTGGACGGCCTTCGCGGTTCGATTGTCCAAGCGATCATACGTGTTTTATTCCGTAGCCGTCTTGGCTCAATTCGCTTTCGCTCAAGCTTCAGAGCTTACGTCAGGCTAGTTGCGACAGCGACTCTGCTGCAGCGCAGCCCTGGGTCGGGTCGGACTTGGCTTGATACAACAGCAGGGCAAGGGCCCGCTTCGACCAGTCGGCAAGTGCCTGAGCGTTGTTGTGAACACCTGTCTCGTACGAGCAAAGTGTGCCCTGACATCATGCGCAGAAATCATGCACTCCAATTAGGAAAGACTAACATGTGCAAATTCTATCAGCATGGCAGCTGTAATCAGGGGAGCAGGTGCGCATACGCCCACGACCCCCAGGAGCTGCGCCACCCGCCAGAGTCTCAGAACACCAGCATGTGTGAGACCTTCGCCAGAGAGGGCCACTGCGCGAATCCGACCTGCCAATTCGCCCACGGCGCGGATCAGCTCCGAGCGACGAACGTGCTCGTCAAGGCGAAGATGTTTGGGTTCGGGAGCAAATGCAGGAACGGCAAGAGCTGCCGCTTTGCGCACTCGGACGAGGAGTTGCGCCTGGCCAGTCAGCCAGGGAGCGCTGCCCACACTGGCCAGGACGGCAGCGACTCCGCCGAGGGCTCCACGGAGAGTGGCTCGCAGGCGGACCCGCGCAGTGACCACACCAGCAACCACTCCTGCACCACCATCTTCACGGGTTCCTCTGGGAGGAGCAGGGCCACAGGCGGTGCCGAGGGCGGTGCGGGAGGCTTCAACAGCGGCCACAGCGCGGAGCTTCCCGTCAGGGCCCGGAGCAGGGAGCCGGTGGCCAAGCTGTCGCACAGGAGGCTGGACGTCCACAAGAAGCAGGACGCAGAGAAGGCCGGCCTGAGTCTGCTGGCCGACGGAGCGACCACACTGTGCATCTCGAACGTTCCCACCTACTTCACGCAGGGGTCGCTGCTTGCCATGTTCGAGGATCTAGGCCTCCTAGATGGGGTCGGAGTAGATGGGGTCGGAGGATGGCGCCGCATCGCCGATGCATCGCCGATGCGGCGCGATGTGGAGCCCGATTAGCTTCACGTCGACGTCGCCGTTGCATCGCCGACGTTGACGATGCATCGCCAGTGCATCGCCGATGCATCGCCGATACATCGCCGATGCATCTCCGATGCATCGGCGATGCGGCGAGATCCTCCGACCCCATCTACTCCGACCCCATCTAGGAGGCCTCTAGAGGACCTCACCCCGGCGATGCGGGGTAACTTCGACTTCTTCCACTGCCCTTGGGAGCAGGATCTGATGAGGAACACGGGCCACGCGACGATCAACTTCGCGAACGCAGTCCACGCCCAGGCGTTCCAGCAGGCGTGGTCCAACAGGGGGCTGTGTGGCTCGGGCCCGTCGGAGAAGCGGCTCCGGGTGACGCGGGCGCCGCTGCAGGGCCTGCAGGCCAACCTGGACCACTACTCCGGCACCGTCACCAAGTCCGCCGACCCCCGCTTCCGTCCGCTGTTCCGCGGCGAAAGCGGCAGCTTGAACGCCCTCATGGTGACGGACGACTCCTTCTCTGCTGGGGGTGGGCGGCGTGTTTAGCGGCTCCCGTAGCCGCTGACGATCCGCCACAAGAGTAAAGGCGCAGACGCCCCCCCGGTGGATTGGTCCCGAGCCTTAGGGAAGGGTGGCGGTGTTCAGATCACCACTGAGGGCCACGGACTGCATCCACCGAGGCCCTCCCCGGAGGCACAGGAAAGACTTGCCCTAGATTTTTCAAGGCGGCGTAGACGGCGACGGCATCGCCAGCCATTCGGAAGCTAGCCCTGCCCATCTCGGGCTGGCGCCTGCGAGCTGCCCCCTGTGGGGTGCCGCGCCCCACGGGGCGTTGCCTCCCCGGATCGTCCGCGCGGCCTGCGCTCTGGGAGCGTGCGCTCCCCGGAGCCGGTTTTTGGTGAGAGATCGTGCTCGCCACCAATCAGTCTCGCCTCGGGCAGCCCTTCTGCCGGTAGGTCCGCCGAGCGCCTGGCGAGGGCTGTGCCCCCGGACCAAGCTGGAGGACTGTCTGGCGCTGCTCGAGGCTAATACTCGCGCATGTGTGATGTGCCGATGCGAAGCCGGCCAGTGAGTCGTTCCGACCAACTTTTCTTGATCGTTGTTTGCTGGCAAGGCGCCGCAGGATGTTCGATGTTTTCATGCTTCAACTTTCTCAAGTAATAATTTAATCTCTGGCCAAGGCCTGCAGTCTGGTAGATTGTGTGCTTGTGCACCCCCGAAATCTGTTTGCACCGAGTGGTTGCTTAATCATGTATCATTTTTGAATGATATTGCCTGTGCTGTCCCTCCTTGGTCTCGTTTGGCTTACTCCTCTGTTTGTGGTCCTAACGATCCGTGCGCGGCACTGGGAGAAACCGAGAATGAGGTGCACCCCGTCAAGATAAGCGCCACTAAGAATGAATGCTGAATAGACAGGTACCCGCTTGAAAGGCATATCTTTTTTTGTGCAGTCGCTTTCCAGCAGGGCGCAGCAGCGAGAATCCGCGTACGTCTGCAATTCCTGGAGAAGGCACACGGACCAGAAACGAAACGGATATGGACATTGGACAACGAAACCGAATACCAGCGCGATACTTGATGGTTCGAGAGATGACGACGTGAGTTACTCGGCGGCGAGCGATGGGGGAGAAGTAAGCAGGGGCGGGCCTTCTCAGAAGGCTCGGAAGTCCCCAAGCCTTCTGAGAAGTTTCACAAGCCTTCCCCGAAGACAGAGACAACTTCTCAGAAGGTGCGAGGGCTTCCGCGAAGTCCCGCCGCCTTCTGAGAAGGCCTTCTCCTTCTCACTTCCCCCCCTCGCCCATTACACTGAAATCTCGTGCTCCCACGGCCGCGATTGCCGAGACGATAAGGTGTTCGGTCGCACGCGCTCCACGACGCTTGTTTAGTGCGGCCTTCGGCCGATCCCGCCACCGTGCCTGGGTTGCAGGTCAGAGGCCTCTTGGATGCCTGTGGGATCTTTGGGGAGGCCTCTCGGAAGCCTCTTGGAGGCAGCTTCCGGGGTGCCTTTGGGGTTCTTTGGGGGGCCTCTTCGGGCCTGATCTGGGCTTCTTTGTGCTCCTCCTGGCGGTCTCGGGGGTCATCTTGTGGCGGAGGCCACGAAATGTCGGTTCGTGCCCCCTCTTGGGGCCGTCTTGGGACGTCTTGGTGCTTCTTGAGCCGTCTTGGGGCCCTCTTGGGCCGTCTGGGGCCCTTTTTGGAGCCTCTTCGGCCGTCTTGGTCGGTCGAAAGCCCGCAAGGGCGACAACGCCCAAATCTTTTCAAGATATAATAAAACCGCTGATTGTGGCCTCTTGGGGATTGAGGGGGCCCCTTGGAGCCCTCTTAGGGTCTTGGGGGCCTCTTGGGCCGTCTTGAGCCATCTTGGCCATCTTAGAGCGCTTTTGGGGGCCGACTCGGGGGCCGTCTTGGACCGTCTCGGGGGCCTCTTGGGGCCCTCTTGGCCCGTGTTGGGGCCTACTATGCTCTGGAGAAGTCACGCGGGAACAGGTGGGAAGCCCCGGTGAAATTCAGAATTTGGGTTCCGGGCCCCTTTGGATTTGACCATCGAGAAGGGAGGATCCGACGGACTTGAAGACAGAAGACACTCCAACTCGTGTCTCAGGGTACGGTGGCGTATAACTAAGCGAATCGCAGGACAATCCCACATTTCGAATGTTTTCAATTGCTTGGGCCTTCGAAGGTGTGGGTGTCAGGTCTGGGCGTGGGAGGTTTTCTCAATTTGTCCTGGGAGAACGCGTTTTGACACTGCTGCCCCAACTTGTGGGACTCCTCTCGTCTTCTTTTCAAGGTTCTCAGTTTTCGGTATTCTAATTTCTCCCTCCTCCCCATGCTACTCCTCCTGCCCTGCCTCTTCCACCTCCTCCGTCTCTTGCTCTTGCTCCTGCCGAGGAGGAGGAGCATGATGATGCTGATGATGATGATGATGATGTTGTTTTTGTTGTTGCTGCTGTTAGTGATGATGATGCTAATCTGATAATGCTGCCGCTGATGACGATGACGATAACGATTATGATGATGACGATGATACTGATGATGCTGATGATGGTGATGATGCTGATGATGGTGCTGTTGATGACGACGATGATCAAGCTGATGATGCTGATGATGCTGATGATGATGGTGATGGTGATGATGATGCTGATGATGCTGCTGATGCTGCTGATGATGACGATGAAGATAACGATGATGCTGATGATGATGCTGATGACGATGATGATGAAGATGATGATGATAATGATAATGATGATGATGATGATGATGATGATGATGATGATGATGATGGTGGTGATGGTGATGGTGATGGTGATGGTGATGATGATGATGATAGTGGTGGTGGTGGTTGTTATGATGATGATGCTGCTGATGAGGATGATGGTGGTGATGATGATGCTGATTCTGATGATGGTGATGCTGATGCTGATTATTACCATTACGATTAGTAGTATCACCATTATTAATGCTAGTATTTTATGTGTTTGTTATTCTTATCATCATATTACTGTCATTATTATTGTTATTGTTTTTGTTGTTATCAGGATTATTATTATTATTATTATCACCGTCACTATTTTTATTCTTACTACTGCTACTATCAGCATTTATGATTGTTATCATTTGTATCATTATCTTCTTGTTATCCCCTACCTAGGCTCTGCCTAGAAGGGTTCTTACTCTCTTAGCTTAAAGGGGCTGGGCAATGGAAATGGCCCCGGGCGGTTCCCCCAGTCCCCGCCCCGCGGTTCCCCCCAGTCCCCTGGGAGCTTTAGCTTTAGCTTTAGCTACGCTTTAGCTTAGCTGTAGCTTAGCTTTAGCTTAGCGTTTCGCTTAGCTTTTCGCTTAGCGTTGAGCTTGGCGTTTAGCTTAGCTTTAGCTTAGCTTTAGCTTAGCTTTAGCTTAGCTTGAGCTCAGCTGTAGCTTAGCTTTAGCTTAGCTTTAGCTTAGCTTTAGCTTAGCTTTAGCTTAGCTTTAGCTTAGCTTTACCTTAGCTTTAGCTTAGCTGTAGCTTAGCTTTAGCTTAGCTGTTGCTCAGCTTTAGCTTACCTTCAGCTTAGCTTTAGCTTAGCTTTAGCTTAACTTTAGCTTAGCTGTGGCTTAGCTTTAGCTTAGCTTTAGCTTAGCTTTAGCTTAGCTTTAGCTTAGCGTTACTGTTACTACTAATGCTGTTTTCGTAGGGGTTCCAACTCCTAGGTAGGGTCGCACTGGGATAATTCTTTTTATTAGGATTATGCTTACTATTATCGTCATGATGATGGTGATGGTGGTGGTGATGATGATGATGATGATGATGATGAGGAGGAGGAGGAGGAGGAAGATGCTGTTGCTGCTGCTCAGGAGGAGAAGGATGATGAGGATGATGATGAGGAGGAGGATGAGGAGGAGGAGGAGGAGGGAGGAGGAAGAAGAGGAGGAGGAGGAAGAGGAGGAGGGGGAGGAGGAGAAGGAGGAGGAGGATGAGGAGGAGGGGGAGGAGTAGGAGGAGGATGAGGAGGAGGGAGAGGACCAGTGGCAGATGGACTGGTCTGCCTCCGAGGAGGCAGGTCCCAGAAGAGACTCGAGTGAAGACACAGGGGCAAGTGGCTGCCGTCACGGGCAGCAGGCGGAGTGGGGCGAGGGCGCAGACGCACGAGCAACACAGCCGTTCTTGTTCGGATTGGCCTCGGCATGCGCCGACAAGCTGCTGCGCCCCTGTCCGCCAACGTCTTCAGCATCAACCGCAACCACATGAGTCATTCTGAGCAACAACAGCACAACACAACAACAACAACAGCATCAGCAGCAACAACAACAACAACCAACAGCAGCAACAACAGCAACACCAACAGCAACAACAGCACCGCCAGCAACAACAACAACCTTTTTGCATACCGTTCGCTCCTATCTGCTCACGTGCCAATCAATGCATATATCCCAAACCCTCGGTACCCGCACTTGTCGTCTTCGATCGTACCCCCTTTGGAGTAGATCTTCCTCACCTGCCACGTGCATTTAGTGCACCCCTTGAAACGAGGTGGTAGGCGGAGTGAGAAAAATGGAGCGCGAAAGAAATTCTAGACGTTTCGCGTATCCCCACCAGCTGGACCTGTTTCCTGGCATCTGCAGCTTGCACCACCTCTCGCTTCCGGTCCGCTTTGGTGCCGCTTAGGCCTCCGGTTTGCCGGCGCGTTTGGCAATTAGGTTCGCGCGTAGCCCGCCCGTCCCGTTTGACGCCGCCTGCGCTTTCGCTTGCGGCTGCGACAAAAGTATACCCACCAGCCCATCCAGAAACGATGTCCAGGCGAGTTGAGGTGATCAGGGAAAAGCGGAAGCAAAGAGGGGGACGGCCGAAACGTGCGAAGGAGGGAGGAGGAGAAGGAGGAGGCTGGATGGATGGATGAGGGAGTGGGGCGAAGGAGGATGAATAGGAGGAGGAGGAGGAGGAGGAGGAGGAGGAGGAGGAGAAGGAGGAGGAGGAGGAGAAGGAGTAGGAGGAGGAAGGAGGATCAGGAGGAGGAGGAGGAGGGTAAGCACAAGGGCCAGAGGTCTCTTGGATGCACCTCGGAGCCTCT